ATTATTATTAAATGAATTTTTTGTTACAGAAACATTGCGAAAGTACCCTGTGTTAGGGGTTCTCACACGAGCATGTGTGAAAGATTATAAAATACCTGACACAGATAAAGTTATTGAAAAAGGCACCGAAATATTTATACCAATCTATGCTTTACAAAACGATGAACAATATTATGAGGATCCGGAGACATTCAATCCAGATCGATTCAATGAAGAAAATTCAACGAATAACAATTTTGTGAATCGACCATACTTGCCCTTTGGTGATGGACCGAGGAATTGCATCGGTTTGAGACTGGGAAAGATGCAAATAAAGGTCGGACTGGTTTTAATGTTGCAAAAATTCAAATTCGAACTGGACGGTGGACAATTTGATCGTGAACTCAAATTTGATCCCGGATCATTTTTGCTCGCTCCACTCGATTCCATTCATTTACACGTCTTCAAACGATAGACTCCTCTTCACTCTCTTTTCACTCTTTTGGATTAAAAACTAAAAACAAATTGAAGAGAGATTCTTTTGCTCATATTTTCCATTCAAAAGAGTGCAAAGAGAGTGTAGAAAGAATGAGAAATCTTTGTTTTTCTTTCCTATACGAAGAAGGAGGGTTTTTAGTTTTTTTTAAATAAATAAAAAATTAATAAAGTTCTCCAAAAACAGCTCTTTAAGCATCTATGTTTTATTGACATTCTTTGGTGTGTTTTTATTTTATTTACAATTATGATTTAAATATCCCGAATTTGACTCAAATCGTTATCCAAATCCAAAATAAAAAATACGCCGATGCCTCAATTCTATTCGCGAAACGTTTAAAAACATTCCATTTTCCGGTTCCAGACATGTTTGTATCCGCGTTCAATTTCGATTAAACCGAACTCCGTTTTTCCCGTACTCCACTTTGTGGCCAAAAATACATGTTCATCAATAAAAATGACGACTTTTCGTGCTCCCATCAATTTCTCTCTTTCTTTGTGCATCGAAGCCACATCAAGAACGCAATTAAATGTGGCTCTGTCGCAGACAAAATCAATTTTCATCTCCTTCAATTTGGCGCTCTGATAAATAAACGGCAAAAAATGTTTTGTATCGGCAAATTTCAAGTAAACACGTTCCAAATTTGGTAATTGTTTCGGTAAGTTGTCCAAATCAGTATTGATGTATTGAATTCGTAGCTCTTTCAACTGTCGCAATTGCGGCAAATTATATCGTTCACTAATTTCGTGTAAATGTAGGCTATGCAGTGCGTTCAACGATGTCATCTGTCCGAAATAGTCAAGATTATGATATCTGGCGTACAAATTTAATCGTTCATAAATCCCTTTCGCATGCAAATTGTTCAGCAGTCGATATGTTTCGGTGATGTTTCTCGGTGTCCATGTCCAGTCATCAAATTCAATGGTTAAATCTTGTAGTTTGACATTGGCTTGGTCGATGAAGTCACGATTATTCCAAAAGCAATGAAAACTCGTTGAAAAACTCACAACCTGTGGATTGAGTGCGAAAAATGTGCGTAGCTCATCGATTTTTTGGCCTTTTTTCGATGACTGTGTCCATGACAAATGATTCAACTTTGGATAGTGACGTTGTAACCAATCGTTTCCCGTTCGTTTCAAAACGTTTCGATTCCATCGACAATCTTTTACGTACAGACTCCTTAGATTCTCGCAGTGTTCGGGGAATTTTTCGTAAAATTGACGTTTGATTAGACAATCTTCGATCGAAATGGTTTCACAGGTGCCGAGAATTTTTTCAATCCACACTAATTCGATTTGTGTTAATAAAACATTCATGAATTGAATGTGCTTGATGGATGTCGTGCAATTGGTGCCGACATAGCAAAACATTCGAACGCCATCTTCGATGCCAATTGAATTTTCACACAGCGACACTTTTTGAATGTATTTATCAAAACTGTGCAATTTCTGTGCGCTTCGATAGAAATTCGCACTCCGTGTATCGTTCACGTACAATCCATCTTCTTCAGCACGAACCTCAATTGCCGGAAAATTTCGCTGGAAATGATCACCGACAATGAGTTGCAGCAATTTACACGTTTGACCCAGGGCATCCAAGTCGTCGCGTGATAACCATTCGAATAATTCGTCAAAACAGTCAATGTTTAGTTTGAAAATGTTCGACGATAAGTCGAAACGTTGATCAGACATTCTTTGACCTTGATGTACAGCAGTGTGAGCGTTTGTATCGACAATCAATGATGGATCGCTTTTTATTACTTTTTTTTTATATCTGCGGATAAAAGAGATTGAAATATAAGTGAATGCTGACAAAAAATAATTCTATTCCATACTTTAGCAAAACTCAATTTTCATACCAGAATATTTCACCGAAAATGTTTAAGAACATATGCTTTCACAATAATAATAAATAGACTATGACGTTCTTTGTTGTTTCTTTTGACACATTGACAAATGGAATGTGACGATACGGTGTGAAGTTGACTACCTAAAGTCTCGTTCAAGTGAATGACTTCCATTGGAATGTTTCCAGGCGGGGAATTGGTACATTTAAGGCTTGGTTAATACTTTGGATTTCAATACAAATAAGAAATTAATTTTGACTTTTTTAACCTTCGCTAAAATGTGAAAAAATAAAAAAGGATTGCGATTTTTATACTAAAGACAAACAAATTGACAAAATATTTACACTTTTACTCATATACAGTTTCAATCCAATGAATGTTCTCAGTTTGACAATTGATCAATTTTCCGTCAAATTCTGTCATTGT